TAGGTAAGTAAGCCATCAGGCTACTCATTCTTTTTCCTTTATATTTCCCTATAATTTTAATTCCCAATTCATAATTTAAATCACTTTTATTTATTCTTTTCTTTTCTTTTTCTCTTGGAGAGGGTGCACTACGAAAGAGCCAGACTAAAGTCGGGCAGCGAAGAAAAAGGCACTATCGATCTCAATCTCTTTTCCTAACTTTATATCGTAACTATTCTTATCTTCCTTCTAACCTTAATTAGCAACCAGATTCACGCCCTTGGATTTTCATGTGAAGATCCTCGCGATAATGACTATCGTCATGCATTAGGTTATAAATTGTGACGCGCAGATCTATATGTTTTACTACAAATTTGCTAAACCACAAATACCAGTTCATTTTTCTACTATATATATAAGTAAACGTCTTTATAGCTTCTAAGTAAAGTTTATAGCATGACTTTCCGGTTCTAAATCATCTAATCAGTCTGGTAGACCACGAGTGTCATCAAACGCTTTTTGTCAACAATACTATTGTTTACATAGAATTTATACGTCGGTGATGATATTCGTGATCTACCAGGTCGATTAGATGATTTAGAACCGGAAAGTCATGCTCTACAACTTAGAAGCTACAGAGACATTTACTTATATAATAGAAAAATGATTTCGCTTTGTAGTGAAGTGGCATTTGTGTCTAGCAAATTTTATAATAAAATTTATAGTCATTTGCGTCACAATTTAGTTTAGGATTTGTGCGGAAAGCATAGTAGTGAGGGAAATAGTGAATTATATGAAATGTAAAAAAGTTAAAGTTATATTTTATAGTTAATAACGATAGCATCATTGTTTTATCGAGAAACAGTAACTTTGGTGACGGGTAAAGAATGCAATTACGTAAAAGTTGTGAAAATTACTCCTTCATATTTGAAGTTTTGTACCGTACCGCACTGCCATTAGTACTCCCATTTAATACCCCTTCAAATACTACCCGAAAAAATTGTATAAGATCTGATATTAAGATCTAATAGATTTAATTGAAAATTATCGAAGCATAATACCACCTTGTTACAATATCCCTTAGCTTGTGTATCCACTCTTGGTCAAGTACCCATGGATGCATTGCTATGCATAATACCCTTATTTCTGATAAGACCCGGGTACTAAAGGTTGCGCGGTACGGTATATGAAACTGATTTAGTGCCTTAAATTATTCCTTACAAATTTTAGCATCTAATACAACATTCGTTAAAAATATAATTCAATATAAAAATACATCTTTTAATAAAGGATTTATGCTTCTATAAATGTTCGTATTAGTGCTAGTTTAATCTATAGTTTTCGTGTCTATACTGTAAATTTGAGGACGGGAAGCCAATCAATAATGAAAGAATTACAATTATTAAGCCACTTTCACTTATAAATCCCCTCTATTGTATTGGTAAAAGTTCTAATCATGTAATTAAATATACTGATAGTTATTATTTGCACGATATTTCCTTGTCAGCTGGAAACATAAAAAAATAAAAAACAGTATTTTCTATTTTATTACATTTACAAGGCAATAATATCTAAGTCATGTCTCGGTATTATTAAATCTCTCAACAATTCTCAACCTAGCAACTTCTCTGCAAACGTTACATTCAAAATTATATACGCTCATATATGATCTCTTTTCAAATTCATCAGAAAACTTCATAGTCCGCCACTTATGATATTCTAAATATGCAGTCTCATTTTTTAACTAGATATTTCAAATAATCAGCAAGAGCTTTTGCATCTTTAAAGTCTTCGATAAAAATAGCAGATTTAGGATGCGGTAAGTATAAACGAGTATTAGGCGCACCCCATATAACGGGTACGACACCCAAATTAAACGTATTCCAAAGTTTTTCAGTAGAATAATCTTTTTCTTGACAATTTTCGATTGCAAGGTAAAAAGGAAATTTAGAAATGATACAATTCTTTGATTCCAATGGGCATTCAGGATACCAATCGGTGTTACGATAAACACCACCGAAGGATGCGACAGGAATATGTTTCTCAAGATTTGGAATAAATTCACGTCTGAATTGAGTCCAATGAGAAGCGATAAACGAAATAAATGTTGAATTCGGGGTGAGCTTTGTTATATTAAAAGGAACTATTGATCTCCATGTTTCGGTGTCCATTGAAACATAACTTGTAGGTATATCAGAATTTTCATAATAAGTTGCGCGGATATCATACGGGTTGGTTTTATCATGATATTGTGGGAAATAAGTCTCAGGTTCTAAAGTATATTGTATGAACTTTTGGCCTTTCCATGCTTTCTCTTTTGGTAAGCCTAGCTGATCAACACAAAGAAGACCATCAGCACTTTTAAGCTCTTCGGACGTTAAATCTTCTATTTCCTTTGCTTTCCAAATACATGGTACATCGCAATTTATTAAGGTTTCGTCATGCTTATATTTGAGTTCTAGGTAGTTTGCGTATGTATAACAATAACCTCTAGTTACATATATCTTCACTTTCTGGTTCTTATTTAGATAGCCTGTTATGTAATGTCTTTTTTTCCATTCGGCAATATTGGTAGGTTTAATCTTAAGCTGTCTTATTAACTCTGCCTCATCAATCCGAACAATCTTAATAGAATCTCCAACAAATGTTTCTTTTATTGCTGGTATTATTGCTAACGATAAGAAAAAGAATGCATATATTGCGCAAAAAACATATATTAGTTTTTTCATGCGTGGCGTTTCTGTTATATGAAATATGTGAAAAATGTTTTTAAACAGTTAAGTTCGTTCGTTTTAATAGACGTGCAGATATGATATGCATTTTGGCAACAGTGTGAATGATAAGATTGCCAGCATTTAAATGGTGATACAGGGATGCAGAAATCATGTTATTTATTTAATCACAGTAAACCACAGAAATTATTCGATTAATTGCTACCGGTTTTACACAGTCCAAATATTTTCATTGTTTCCTCCTTGAAAACTAAATTTATACACATGCATTTAATTTGTGATACAAACTTGTGAACTAGGTAACAATGTACAATTTCTAGGAAAGTCTGCGGAGAACCAGAGATCAAGAGCTGCGAATTGGCTATTTTAGTTACTAGCGGTTCGGGAAGCATGTCCGGCAAATCCAGCGTAACTACAAATCGAGGGCGCAGTCACATGATAATCCGACTCGCCAAGATCTCCAGTGTTGATACAAACGACCAGGGCGGCCACCGATTTTACGGGTCATGTGGGTAGGGCCATTGTTGCAAGCGAATCAGTATTGGATTCATAGTGCTATCGCTATGAAAATTTTGACCTGCATTGCATATTGTGCATATTGAACCCGTCCGCCCTGGTTGTGTTAGCGTCGATACCAAAATTTGCGTGCTTGCGTGATAGATCTACCAATTTTGCGGTACTGGATGTGCAAAATTATACACGAATAATGTGATTAAAAAATTTAATTATATACTTTTTTTACTGTTTTTATTATTTTGTTTACATTAATGAATTTACAAAAACTAATTAATATACTGTATGATGTTGTAGTTACCGTATGTTTTCGAAAATAAGCTACCATTTTTGGTCAAAAAATTATACGTATTAAAATTTTATAACCATTTTTGGACAAAAAATTATATGAAAATTTTATAGGTAGCTTATTTTAGACATTGAGTTTTAGAAAATTTAAAATATCTCTGTAAATATTTGTTCAAATTGCATAAAATTTTCAGGATATATGTATCTTTTTGTTTTAATCAATTTTACTTAGAAGCCCAAAGACAGTTTATTTGGCGATATTTTGATTTTTATATGTAGTAATTGTTTTAGAAAATTAAGAAGTAGTTTATGATTAGAGGTAGCTTATTTTCAGAAACACAGTAAATGAGTGTCGCTAAAAGAAACCCGAAAATTTAAATATTACTTATAAATTTTCGGGCTTTCTTTTGGTGACACTCAAAT